GCTTGCCACGATTCCTGCACTCCCACCACCACGTTCCTGCCTTATGTTTTAGGAGACATTAATTAGATATTTTTAAAGATAGATAAATTCAGAAATATAGCCTTATAATCAGAGCCAACAGCAAAAGATATGAAAACATAAATATCTAAAGTATCTTGATTCAGGAACATAAATTGGAGTTGTTAAGATTGTGTTAAGAAACCATTTTTAAGGGAGCTCTGGTGGCCTAGTGCAAGAAGCTGCACTGCAATCCTAGAGGTTCACGGTTCAAATCTACCAGATGCTCTGCGGGGGAAGGAGGGACAATCTCCTCCTGTACCAGTCAGATCTGATTTGATGGTACACACACACACACACACACAAATAATAAAAAGAAAAAAAAAAAAAAAAAAGCAAGCGAGCTTTGGAAATTTGAATGATTAAATATGTGGATCTTCTGAGCTTGGAGAAGGTGTGTGGTTAAGGACTTTGATATGGAAGAGGGAATAAAGATTCCATTATTTTCGCCCCTCCAAAAAAAGAAAATGTAACAAAAATCCTAAATCCTAAATCTTCTCTATTGTTGAGTACCATCAAGTCAGAACAACCCATAGCTGACTCTCCTGTGGGTTTTCAGAGGCAATTAATTGAATGGGAGGAGACTGCTCTTCTTCTCTCCTTCTCTTGCGGAGCAGCTGGTCACCTCAAACCATGTGTCTTTGGGATTGCAGTGCAGCTTTTCACAAGATATTTTAAGAGGCTTTATAAGCCACTAATAGATATGGGAGGAAGCTCTGGTGGTCTATTGGTAAGAAGGCCACGAGAGCTCCCTCCCCTTTCTAAAAATGGTTTGCAAGTCACTGTGTTGCAATCTTTAAAGGTGTAGTTCAAATCCACCAGTTGCTCTGTGGGAGAAGGATGGGCACTCACCTCCCGTGGGATTTACTGCATCTGAAAACCTGCTGGAGAGTCAGATGAGTTGTTTCTGACTTGACTGCACATAACAACACCAACATTACCTATAAGTTATTCTTAATAATTCAGTTGAAGAATGACAAAGTGTTACAGAAAAATTGTGTTTGTACAAATGAATTCCAGGGTTTTATTTAAAACTTTTATGGCCATTTGAGATAGCTATAGAGCTGAGGCACAAAGTAATCCTTGTAATGTCCATCAATGAAACCTTTTCCACTGTTATGTACAAACCAGCAGGGGACATCAGTTCCAAATACAATATTGGTTCTATAGTCTTTCTGCAAGCCTCTGCAAGGGAAAAAGAAAAAAAAAGTGCATTGTCAGGACAAGAGCAAGGCATGGTTCGCTTGTCATTCTGTCACCATGTATTCCCTTCCCTTCCCATTACAGATCCTACATTATTTGAAACTTCAGAATCTGGAAATTAGTGTTGGGATGATAGGGAGTGAACATTTCATCTTTAGATCACTTAAATTATCCCACATAAGGATAAAAACACCATTGACTGGGTGGGTGTAATTTAAAGAAGGCCAGAATGAAACTTCAAACTGTAGTGGGCTGACTTAAATGCTCCATGAGCAATGTACCTGAAGTGCCTCTTTACTTTATGTTTAAACAGAAAGCCTCATTACTGTCAGAACGGACTTATAACTGACTTACAACTTCAGTGGGTTTTTGGAGGCTGTAAATTGCAAACTCTCTTGGAGACAATGGTAAACTTTGACTGCCAGAGAGGTGTCAACTTTGGGTAAGCAGTGCAACTTCCTATGGATGACACCACCAGAACGCCTAGTGTTATGTATCACCAGGTATTTCTGAGCAAATTGATGCCCTCTGTTTTGAGGAGAATGAACCGAGTGATTGGTAAGTCCATGCCACAGTTCCACAGGCTTGAATATACATAACTCTGCATACACTCCAGGTCAATTCAGTTTAAGTTCTCTACCATGAAGTCCTCCTAATGTGAAATAGTGGCCCAGCATGTGCCCTTTTACATGGACGTGTAATAAATGTTCTTTTGCTAGTCTCAATAAGATTAGTATATGACTTGCTAAGCAACTTTTCTTCCATAAAAACTGGTCACAAATGCCTGTTGGTAACTTGGCTGCTCTCAAGTATCCTGACACCGCTTGAGCAATCTATTCACTCAGAATCCTTCGGGTTAAGTGCACAAAAATATAGTTTTTGTCTATGTACTTATTGTAATTTTTCGAATTCATTTTTATGGTCATGTAATATAGTTTGAGTAAGTCATAGAAGACAATGGCATTTGTAAAAACTCTAGAAAAGTAAAAATGCTAAGAATATTACCAAATCAAATGTGCAACAACTAAGGGAAATGATATATATTTTTAAATAAAATTTTTATTTTATATTGGCTTATATATCTAAAGAAAATTTTTATCTTATACTGGTTTACTTACAAGCTTTCTATACATTATTTTTCACACCGTGTGTTTGGGGAAAATTAGATTTCTAAGAGTTTTGCTCAGAATACAAGGGTCTATGCTTTTTAGAATTTCCTCTTTGACCAACTTTTCTAATGATCCGATTTGTCTCTACAGGACTTTCAATGTATGCCAATGAGAACAATTGATTTTTGTGCTTACTATTGGTCTTGGAATTTTATGACATATTTCTGTATAATTATTCATATCTAGAGACGAACCCTTTGCAGTATTTTTATGCAAAAATGTACAGGGGTCGATTTCTAATGAATTGTTTGAGGGAGATGATGCTTAACTAGGTTTTTCGTGCTCTTCTACTTTGCTGTGTGGGTCCAATGCCAGTAGGACTCTTCACTACTTCTGTGGGTGTGAGGCTTACCTGGTGACATTCAGCTTGTGTCCTTTCACTTCCATGCTTGCTTCTGGCTTTGTAGGGTTCTTTCCTGGCCTCTCATTGAAAATATGTATCTCAGGCTCATTCATGAACTGGCCTAGTGAAACAAAATCCAGACATTTATTACATTTAATCCACAGTTAGGTAAAAAAGATGAGTGTTTTTATTGACTTGAGCCTACACTATTGACCTCTTTCCAGAATTTTTGTATATAAGTAGAGGTGACAAGTGTTAAAAAATAAGAATAAAATAACTAAACACCATGACACAATCATCTCCAGAAAGTAGATCTTACTGAGGAAAAATGAATATGTGAGGTTCAAAGTAAAACTTTGAAGGACTGCAGCCTTCAATATGGATTGAAGCTCAACATGAAGAAAACAAAGATTTTTATCACTGGTCCAATTGGCAGCATCCTGATAGTGAAGAGATTGAGATTGTTGGCAGCTTTAGTCAGCTTGGCTCCACAATCAACACTCTTGGTATCAGCAGCCAGGAAATGAAAAGACAAATTGCATTGGGAAAGTCTGCTGTCAGAGATCTCTCCAGAGTACTGATGAGCAACATCAGTCAAGATATCAGTCTGGAGACTAAGGTGCACCTGATCTAGGCCATGACCTATGCAATTGCTTGTTATGCATCTGAAAGCTGGACAGTGACTAGGGATGCTAGAAGGAGAATTGTTGCCTTTGAGATGTGGTGCTGGAGAAGAGTATTGAATATACTATGGACTGCTAAGAGAACAAACAGGTTCATCCTAGAGAGAGAAAGACCAGGCTGCTCCTTGAAGGTAAGGATTATGAAGCTTTGTCTGACATACTTTGGACATGTTGCAAGACAAAACCAGTCCTTGGAGAGGGATGCCATGCTTGGGAGGGTGGAGGGACAGCACAGGAGAGGAAGATCCTTTATGAGGTGGGTTGATTCAGTGACTGGGTTAATGAGGGTCAGTGTGTGGGAGACAGTGAGATTGGCATAGGATAGAGTAGTACTTAGTGCTCTTGTACATAGGGTCACTATGAGTTGAAGGAGACTTGATGACACATAACGCAATAATAACAACATATCAATCAATTAGGTCCCTTGTCTACATTCCCAGGCCAGATGACTTGACATCCATGCTTAAACCAAAGCCATGCTGAGAGCAAAAGACTTCAGCAATGTGAAGGATAGATTTTGCCATAAGAGCAATTACAAGCTGTGCCCTATACCATCATTTTATCTGTAAGAGTAATCTGCCAAGACTACAAATAAAAGCCTCTCATGGAAGAAGGGTAAAAGTTAGTACCTGGAGTCATAGCTCAAATCATATGGACAAGATGTGATTGTTGTTATTGTTGTGTGCTGTAGAGTTGCTTGTGTCTCAAAGCGACCCTATGTACAACAGTCCTAAACTCTGCTCTGTCCTGTGCCAATCTCACTGTCTTTGACACACCTATCCCAATTACCCCTGTCACCAAATCAATCCACCTCCTAGAGGGCCTTCCCCTCCTGCGCCTGCCCTCCACCCTCCCAAGCATGATGTCCTTCTCCAAGGACTGGTCCCTCCTTACATCATGACCAAAGTATGTCAGACAAAGTCTCAGAAACTATGCCTCCAAGGAGCAGACCAGTTTAACCCTCTCAAGGATGAATCCGTTTGTTTTCCTAGCAGTCCATTGTACCCTCAATACTCTTCTCCAACACCAAAGCTCAAAGGCATCAATTCTCTTTCTATCCTTCCTAGTCATTGTCCAACTCTCTGATGCATAAGAAGTGATTGCAAAGACCATGGCCTGTATCAGACGCACCTTAGTCTCCAGAGAGACACCATTGATTATGATAGCATATTCTCAACTTTGAAACATCTCCGGAAAACTTGAAAAAGCTGATGTCTTAGGGGCTTAGGAAGCACCATAGACTTCCTAAAACAGTTCGCCTCTCTTCTAGCAGAAAAAAAAAAATAGTTGAAGACTTAAAATCTTTCTGCCCCATTTATCTCTCTCTTCAGGTAAGTTTGTGTAGCAACTGAAGTGTTAAGAGTTTGAATCCACCAGAGGTATCTCAAGAGAAAGGCCTGGTGATCTACTTCCAAAAGATCAAAGCAACTAAAAATCTGATGAATGTATTTTTCTTAAAAAACTTGAGTCAAAAGAACAGGATAACAATAAGGGTTTTGTTTGGTATTTGGCTCTCTCTCTCTCTCTGTTTTAGGCTCTCTTAACATTCCCTGTGATTATGGAATTCTGGTTCTGAAATGACATTTTGGTTTCAGAGTCACCCCACTCTATTATATCATGTCCTTCCTGAACTCATATCTAACATTTTCCCAAGTTCCAACCACTGTCATCCAAAGTTGTTAACGTTGAGAACGTGACCTGCACATATGGGGTGGTTGATACTTTACCGATCAGTCCATGTGCACTTGGTGAAAGCTTGTTTGTGGGGGGAATGTAGATCCCCAAAAAGTCTACATTGACCGGATGCTTCTTCCATACTCGGTGAAGTAAAACAGAAAAGGAGAGCTCTTTATTGAGGGTGATAGTTACAGTTTTTTCTTTCTTCACTGAGACAAGCACCCTAGTGTGAAGGACAAAAGGTGATTCCAGAACAGACTTGTAGAAAAGCCAGGCTTCCTATTGTTCAAACAAACTCTCCGTTCTTCCCAGTATAATGCCACCAATTTTCTATGCTGCTATTTTAGCTCCTAGATCTAAAATTCTGTCAATTTATATATTTGAATATGAATGTTATAAGACACAGTGTTTCCAAGCACACCAATGTAAAATCTGTGAATTTCAGCTGATGGATTAATTTACTTACCTAACACATATCTATGGAATATCTACTGTGTAAATACAATGAGGCACATTAGAGAACAAAACATGTGGGACTCCCACTCCTACACCCTCCAGGGAGCAGATAGTGGATGAAAAACTCCCATTTTTCTGAACCTCAACTTTCTCATATTTAAAATGACAGGTCTAACTTCTGTGTTTATGTTGTTGAAGTCTGGGTTTATTTATGGAGCCATGTGTCAAGGACAAATCCTAATTCCAATGTGGTAACACTTGCCTCTGACTAGTGAAGCGTGCTGTGTCAGCCCAGGACAGGACAGACACGTGGGAACCACGACTCAGCGTAATGGTCTCAGTGCTGATTTCTACTTTTGTGTCTTCACTTTGGAAATAAAATCCCAGCTTTCCAAAATAGGTGCTTAATTTATTGTTCTTGGGCTTCTTGGCACCAACGAGCTGACCATTGACCAAAATCCCTATAGGAAAAAAGCAAAAAAAAAAGTATATATTTTTTCTTTTTTAATGTGCTAATATATATGTAGAACAGGCACAAAACCTCAAATTTATAAAACATGACACTATAGGAAAATTATTATTATTTTGCTTTAGAATCTAATTTGCTCTCTTATTTTATATGGGTATATTTTATTATAGTTTAGCTGTGTCATAATAAGATATGTTACTTTTTTCCCTTTAAGATATGCCACTTCTTATGCAAGGAGATTATCTTACTTATAACAACTGAAACATACTTAGGACTATATTTATAATTAATTTCTCACTAATTATTGGAGTTCAAATTAGGTAATATTTTATTAAGGTGAGAAATAGGGGGGTGAAAAGACAGTGAAATATAATTTTAAATTTTTCTAATTAAAATGTGATTTTTTGGTATTACCTGACTCTGGATCAGACACCAGGTTGAGAATTTTTCCAGGTTCTGAGTCAATATTGAAACAAATATTCTTTTGGCTTTTTGGAAGGTAAATTATGAAGTGTGGATCATTTTCAACTGGAAAATACATAAAGAAAAGGAAAATAAACAATCACAGAAAAGATTATTTTAAACAGTATTTTATTCTTGAACATTTTTATTTTAACAAGAACAAATATTTATTGTGTTTCTATTATGTGCTAGTTATAAAAATCCTCACAACTGGACTGATAAGGAACATCATAATAAATGGAGAAAACATTGACATTTTAAGGATTTCATCTTATTTTGATTCACAGTCAACGTGTCTATGATAGCAGGAGTCAAAAAAATCAAGAGACATGCTACGTTTTGAAAATTTGCTGTCAAGGACCTCTCCAAAGTGCAAAAGCAAGGATGTCAATTTAAAGACTAAAGTGTCCCTGACCCAAGTCATAGTATTTCCAATTGCTTCCTGTCCAACTGAAAGTTGGGCAATGAATAAGGAAGACCAAAGAATTGATGCCTTTGAACTTGTGGTGTTGGTGAAGAGTACTGAATGTATGATGGCTGACCACAAGAACAAACAAGTCTGTCTTGGAGAAAGTACAATTATAGTGTTCCTTACAGGCAAGGATGGTGAAGTGAAAGTATAAGTAAAGTACTAGAAAATGATGTCGGAAAATAATTTCTCTCATGTAGTAGTAACTTAGGGGGAAAACCCATTAAATTAAGCAAGGATAATGATTGGTGGAAGATTCATCAACAATCTACGTTATGCAAATGATACAATCCTGCTTGCTGAAACTGAGGAGGACCTGAAGTGCTTGCTGCAGAGGGTCAAGGACTGCAGTCTTCAATATGGATTGAGGCTCATTATCAAGAAGACAAAGGTTCTCACCACTGGGCTAACTGAATGGTGAAGAGATTGAGATTGTTAATAGCTTTAATTTGCTTGGCATACAGTGAACACTTTTGGCACTAGCAGCCAGGAACTTAAAAGACGCATTGTGATGGGAAAGTTTGCTGTTAGAGACCTCTCCAAAGTACTGAAGAACCATGGTGTCACTCTGGAGACTAAGGTGTGTTTGATACAGGCCATGGTCTTTGCAATTACTTGTTGCATCAGAGAGTTAGACAATGACTAGAGAGGATAGAACGAGAATCGATGCCTTTGAGCTGTGGTGTTGGAGAAGAGCAATGAATATACCATGGACTGCTAAGGGAATGAACAGGTTCATCCTGGAGAGGAGAGGATTAAACTAGTCTGCTCCTTGGAGGCAAAGGTTCTGAAGTTTCATCTGACATACTTTGGATATGTTGCAAGGAGGGACCAGTTCTTGCATAAGGATGTCATGTTTGGGAGAGTGGAGGGACAGGGCAGGAGAGGAAGACCCTTGATGAGATGGAGTGACTGGGGTAATGGGGTAGGTGTGTTGGAGACAGTGAGATTGGCACAGGACAAAGCAGAGTTTAGGTCTGTTGTACATAGGGTTACTATGAATCGCAGGTGGTGACTCAATGGCACATAGCAACAACAACAACAACAATGAATGAGATTGATAAGGGGGCAAAGTTCTGGAGAGATTTCAATAGAATAGACAGTATCTGCTAAGAAGAGAGGAAGATGTCAACATTGCCAGGTCTCTAGGCTTAGTAACAGAAGCAAATAAAGAGGAAGGTTTCTGTTGGGAAGAGATGTACTTGTGTTTTCTGGGGGAATGGAAAGAGTAAGCTACCATCCATGGAAAAGATGAATCTATATGTTTGAATTCTGGTGTTGGAGGAGAGTATTGACTATGGACTGCCAAAAGAACAAACAAATCTTTCTTAGAGAAATGTGACCAGGATGCTCCTTAGAGATAAGGATGGTGAGACTTGATCTTGCAGACTCTGGACATGTTCTCAGGAGGGACCAGTAGTTAGTAAAACACATCATGCTGGGGAAAGATAGAGGGTCAGTGAAAGAGAGGGAGATCCTCAATGAGATGAACTGATACAGCGACATTAACAATGGGCTTGAGCAAGGCTGAGATGATAAGGTTGGCACAGGATAAGGCAAGGCTAACACTTGTACAAGTCTCTATGAGTCATAGTCAAGTGGAAGGACACATAACAATAACATCCAGGTACCAGGATCTTACCACATAGTCACCATATTGCTGTGTGCTGTTACTTGATATTGACTCACAACAGGATAGAATTGCTTTATATGGTTTCTTGGGCTATAATCTTATAGAAGGAACCTCCCTGGCGTAACTTGATTCCACCTCCTACTCTGCAGGAGAAAGCTCAGGCAGTCTATTTCATTAAAGTTTTATAGCCTTGGAAAACCTTACGGCCAATTCTACTGTCCTACAGTTTCACCGTAAGTTGAAATTGACTTACTTAAGGTCAGTGGTTTTCATTTACTTAAGATGAAACAGAACCAAGATTTTTCACACATTATTCAACGTGAAACAAATATTGTTATTGTTATGGTTCAATGTAAGAGAGGAAGTCTCTCAATAAGGCGGATTGACAGTCATGGTAACAATGGGCTTAAGTATGCCAGAGATGGGAGGACGGCATGGGATGGGGTTTTTAGCTCTGTTCTTCATAGGGTTGCTATGAGTTGTATTCCACTCAATGGCATAATAATAGCATGTGCCATTGAGTTGGAACTGAGTCATAGCTGACCCTCCAGTGGCTTTTCAGAAGCTATAAATAAAACAGGAGGAGATTGTCTTTTTCCTATAGAAAAGTTGGTGGATTAAAAACACTTGCCTTTGAGGTAGCAGTGCAACTCCTTACCCATAAACCATCATTATAACCTGTAGCTATATAAGAAACATTAAAGGATTGTTGATGATAGGACATACAGCTCTCAATCTTAAATAATAACATAACATAACATAACATAACATAACAATATAACATAACATAGCATAACATCATTTACTGAGTGACTATTACATGCCTTCAGTGTAAAGAGATTGACCCAGTGATCATGCAGATGACACATGGCAGGTCAAGATTCAGATCAGTTGTTCATAATGCTTCTGAGTTGTACTCAACTTAAAAGCATCTAACATTACGTGTGTTAGCACTTTATAGAACAATTTAGTGACAAATTAAGCATCTAGTTACATAAGTGCCGTCACACTCATTTTCAATATGAAGGACGTAAATAGCAGAAACATTAAGTAACTTGCTCAAGCTCACTTTGGAGGTGTCAACCCCAAAGGAAATGTTCTTTCTCTGATATCCCATTGATGGTCGATGCAAGAGTGGAACCCTTCTTTCTTTACAGAGGATTCTCCTCATGGAGTTGGAAATGGAGCTATCTTCTCAAGTGGGGGGTTGTGATGTTATATACATCAAGTCAGAACTGACCCACAGCTGACCCGCCAGCAGGTTTTGAGAGATAGTAAATAACATGAGAAGAGACTGCCCATCTTTCTTCCATGGAACAGCTGGTGGATTTGAACCATGTGCCTTTAGGTTGGCAGCACAGCACCTTACCACAAGACCACCAGAGCTCCCTAAGTGGAAGGTAGTAATGCCTGTAAAAATCTCTGCAAGATTATGTTCAGAGTGAGATCTGGGCTGGAAAAGCATGGGTCAAAGTTTTGGGGATTTTTTTACCTCTTATTACATGAGGAGGTGTTGTCTCAATCACTGGAGCTCCTATTGCATGCTGGGAGGTCTCTGGTGTTGGTGAAGGGTTGGCCCATGGTGGGACTGCACTTGGAGAGACTCTGCTTCCATAATACAGAGCGCCTATGTAGAAAAATCAGAGTGTATTACTTTCCAGATTTACATTTCCATGGAAATGGCTTAAAATTTATCAATGCCATTACTATTTTAAAGCAGCACCTAGAGATTTTTCAGCTACAGTGTTTTTTATTTTTATTTTCAAATCAAATTTTTTTTTCTTTTTGGCTCTCTTAATCATCATGTTATATGGGGTTGCAACACAGCTCTCCCTAGAGTCTCAGACCTGAGTTTGGGTGTGTGTTAGGAAGAATGTCTCCAGAGAGGTTACCAAAGGATCTCCTGCCTTCAGCATATTGTTGTTGTTGGGTACCATTGAATTCACTGAAACTCCTAGTGACCCTATGAACCACAGATAGAGCCTTGCTCTATCTGGCATCATCCCCACCATCTCCGTACACACCCAAGCCCATTGTTGCAGTCACTAGGTCAATCCATCTCATGGGGCCTTCTCTTTCACTGATCTTACCTGTACTTTTCCAAGCATAAGGTCTTTATCCAATGGCGTGTCCCTTCTAACAACATGTCTCAAGCATGTGGAAGGAAGTTTTGCCCTCCTTGCCTCCAAAGAGCACCTTGCTTGCACCTCTTCCAAGAAAGCTTTGTTTGTTCCTTGGGCAGTCCGCAGGATATCCAGTGCTCTCCTCCAGCACCACAGTTCATAAGTGTCAATTCTTCTTTCATCTTTCTTAATCATTGTCTAACGTTTAAAGAGTCCTTCGGCATAGATCAGGATATAATTTGTAGTTCAGCCATTCAAGAGTCCTAACTTGCTACAGGCACCTTCTTAACTAGACCAGAGTAGTCAAACCCGCTGCCATTGACTTGATTTTAATTCATAGTGACCCTCTAAATTTCAGGGACTGCACGTTTTTACAGGGGAATATAACCCTTTTTCCTATGGAGCAGCTAGTGGATTTGAACTGCTGTCCTTTTGGTCAGCACAACAAATAAGGAACTTCCCCATCAGGGCTCCTTTCTGAGACCAAATCCTCCATATCCACATTTCCCAATGAAGTTCCCCAGCTATGGAGACACACATTTTACATACAAAAAGTTATTTTTGCCTTCTGATAGCTAGTTAGTCTCCCTGATTTTGAGAACAAATGCCAGTTCCCCCAAGTCTGATTCTCCCTAGGTAAATTTAGCTTTTGAAATTATAGGCTCTCAGCACAGGCTATCAGAAGTCCCGATTCGTTAAACCTCAGACCACTGCTAGAGAGCTGGCACTTAATTGTAAACAAATAAAAAAATGAAGGAAACAGTCCGTTCAGTATATGCAGGTCATTCTCAAAGATTATATTTCAATACATCCGCCCAGTAGGAAAGAGAGGAGGGAAGTCTGTCTGATAAACTATTCTTGTATGTGTTGTTGACCTTATGAAGGACAGATGTAAACCCTGTCCTATCTGTCATCATATCTGACATTCTTGAGTTCATTGCTGTGATCACTGTGCCAATTCATCTCATTGAACATCTTCTTCTCTTTGCCAGCATGATGTCTCACTCTGAAGAACAGTCTCTTCCAGAAGAAACATGCAATATGGGAGATGAAGCTTTCCTCTATGGAATACTCTGGCTGTACTTTCTCTAAGACATATCTGTTTGTTCTTTTGGCAGTTTAAGAATATGCAGTATTCCTCTACAATGCCATGACTCAAAGACATCAATGCTTCTTTTTGTCATCCTTATTCATTGTTCAGCTCTCAGATGCACAATAAGTTATTGAAAAGACCATGGCCTGAATCAGGTGCACACAAGTCTTTAAACTGATACCATCACTCCACAGTTCTTTGGAAAGGTCCTTGACAGAAGATTTTCCCACTGTAATGTGTCATTTTGATTCCTTGACTGCTGGTGTCAAGGGTGTGATTGTAGATCCAAGTAAGATGAATCATTGACAATTTCAGCCTTTTTCCCATCTATCATGATGGTGCTTATTGGCCTGGTGGTGATTTTTATTTCCTTGATATTGAGATGTAAACCATATTGAATGACGATTGTAGTCTTTTATCTTTTGCAGCAAGTACTTTAAGACTTCCTCACTTTTAGAAACCAAGGCTGTGTCGCCTACATAATGTAGGTTCTTGATGAGTCTACCCCTCCATATGGATGCCCCAAACATAAACTGGAACATGAGTACTTGTGAGGGTTCCTGAAAACTTTCCACAGAGAATATAGAAAGTTTTAAAACAATCTGTAGGTTCTCAACTCTCACATATATTCTTCTAAGAAAAAAAATGACCCCAGAATACCCTTTTCCTGGTGTACAAGGAAAGCATGCCCTTCCCAGTGGCCCGTCATCAACCCACCCCCTCCAGCATCAGTTTGAAATCTGAGCGTGGTGCCAAAGGACTGAATGGCTCTAATGACTGAGTAACAAGTCCTTTTACAACATTTGGATTTGGGCCCAAGTTGTCAGCTTATAGATGAGTAGAAATAATTTTTTGAATCCTAAATCTATGTGTGTTGACATCTAACTTCAGAAGAGTGCACATAAGTAACATGGCAGCTTATCTGTGCCAACAATAGTTATTAGGACTTGTACCTATAAAAATAAAGGGGGGGGGAAGGAAAAGAATCAATACTGAGGTGAATCCTGTTTCAATATGTCAATTACAACCAATATGTCAATTACAAATGTTCACCTACAAATAGCTGACAAAAATAGTCTCATCTGTCTCATTAAAAGATGATTTCTACTAAAATTTTACTTCCTGTGTGTATAGTGTGAAGTACGAGGGGCCTAGTTCACTGCTAACAGAAAGGAAAAGGCAATTTGAACTCATAGTGACTGTAGGAGGGAACAGAACTGTCTTGGAGGGTTTCTGAAGCTAATAAATATTTAGGGGAGAAGACTGTCTCCTCTCTCCCCCACAAAGTATTTGGTGGGTTTAAGCCACCAACCTTTCAGATAACAAACATATATTTTTTAACCACTGCACCACAGAGATTCTCAAGGGGATACAAAGGTTTTCAAAATCTTTCTCTGGAATATAAGAGAAACTGTTCGAAGAGAGTAGCAATAAACCATAAAATGACAGCACTGGAGTGTAAGGTAGATACACTCGGCATGAGGTGAGAAGAGAACAAGAGTTCTGGATGAGGAGGGTGCTCTGTGGTACTAATTCCCCAGCTGATTGAAACACTGACCTGAACAGCAGGCGAGGTCATGTGGGGGGGAGTCTGCCAGCATCCGCTCATCGCCAGCGTCATTCTCAATCACCATTGCAGTGAGCGGGGTTACAATGTGATGCTCCAGAGACATCTGCAGGATTGTCCTTGTAATTTTCCTTTTGGCAGCAGCTGTAGGAGCCAGGCTTCTATATTCAGGGATTACAGACAGTGTAGATCATCATTTCATTCAGTGTCCAACCAGGACCTGGTAGACTACAAGTGGAGAACTAATTGACCTCATGAGCATAGTGCTTTATGTCGCAATGAAGTATCAAGAGATCTTTTTCAAAAGCAGTATTTAACTTATGCAGTGAGTTTCTATACAACTGTAAAAGATAATCTGTATGCTTCTATAAAATTGGCAAGTATGTGTCATGTTTATTTCATAGCCACAGTTTACAGCCTTTAAGGCTTTCTTTGTGAAATAGTGGATTTTTTATTGTGAGTTTACTTATACCTGTATATTTCACTTTCCTCACTTCATACAGATGATCAGCCTTATCTTCCCGAGAAGACCAGTTTCATGTAACCTAACAGATGGAGTAGGGTGGAAGAACTGCAAGTTTGATCAGATTCTCCATATAATTCTGATACAAGTGATCTAAGATCTATACATTACTCTAGCAATATCGCTCTTCTATTGGAGAGTTTTTGAATGAAGTTCAGTTGAGAAGCCAAATAGGAAAGAGTTCCCTTTAGAGCTCATAGTAATCCTGCATTTCTCTTCAAAAATGAGCATACAGTGCTCACTTAGGCAGCACTTACACTAAAACTGGAACATAAGATTAGCGTACATTGTACATAGGGTTTTCAGAGGCCTGCTATTTCAGAAGTGGATGGCCAATCTTTTTTCCTAGTCTGTCTTAATGTGAATGCTCAGATTTAGAGAAGTATCAGACAGACCAGCAAGTTAAAGGTATATCCCTTATTGTGGAGTTAACCATTAGTGTCATTGTTGTCCCTGCCTTTGTCACACGTGTCTTTACCCACTTATTTCCCTGCTCCACCATCAGAATTGATGCCTTTGAGCTGTGGTGCTGGAGAAGAGTTTTGAGAATACCATGGACTGCTAGGAAACAAACAGATTTGTCCTGGAAAGGGTTAACCAGGTGGCTCCTTGGAGGCAAGGATTCTGAGGCTCCGTCTAACATCTTTTGGACATGTTGTGAGGAGAGACCTGTCCTTAGAGAAGGACATCATGCTTGGGAGGGTGGAGGGACAGCACAGGAGAGGAAGGCCCTCTATGAGGTGGATTGATTCAGTGACTGGGATAATCGGGATGGGAGTGTCGGAGACAGTGCGATTGGCACAGGACAGAGCAGAGTTTAGGGCTGTTGTACATAGGGTCGCTATGAGTCGCAAGCGACTCGACTGCACATAACAACAACCACACAAGATTAGCATTGCCTCTGTGCAAGGATGACACGCAAATTTGTGAAGCATTCCGTATTTTTCAGAGGCTCCCCAGCCTCCTCCTCCTTACCACTCACTCCTTGCTTCTGGCTTCGCTTGGTGAGGCCACCTCTTCCACTAGCCACAGATTTGCAATTCTCAATGCAGGACACCTCTCCCATCACCATGTCCCCAGAAACACCTGTACAGACTCATTTAGCTTTATCCAAGAACCCAGTTTTGTTCAGGGACCTCGGATTCCTAAACCCAACCCCTCACGGACCCCTCTGAAGATCTTATTCCTACAAACAGGGCTCTAACCCGGATAGAGTCCAGTGTAATAAAGGCACCTGTTTCAGATCCTTAAAAAAGAAAAGAATAAGAATGAGCAGACATGAAAACAAAATGCCTATGAATGATTGCATGAAAAACTAGGATAATTTGCAAGCTTTCATTCAAACAGAAATAATATTGTAGTATAAAATGAAATTAAAAAGTAAAAAAAAGGAAGAGACAAATATGACTGATAAATACAGCACTAAGGATGAATCTCACAGATATCAGATTGAGCAGATGAAGCCCAAGACAAAGAGTACAAATTGCATGATTATGTCAAGTTCAGCAATAGAAACAACTAACTGATGATGATGTCAAAACTGTGGTTCTCTGTGTAGAGAAAGGGGCTAGGGAACCTTCAAAGTTCAGAGGTACTAGAAATGTCTCGTATCTGGGTCGGTATCATGGTGACACATACATATGCCTACACATAAGATTAATGTACTTTACATATTTAATTTCTTTTAAACCTTATTGAAAAAGTAACCCTAACATAAATGGCTTATAAACTAAAACTACAAAGTCCACTGCTATGGCACAAATTCTGACTTTTTAGTGATCCTACAGGATGAACAGAATGAACTACCTGCCCAGGATTCCCCAGCTGTAACTCTTTATGGAAGCGGGCTGCTGCTTTCTCGCATGGAATGGCTGCTGGTCGGGTTGCAATCATTGACAGCCAAGTAGTTAACCACTGCGTCAGGAGGGCTTTTCTAAGTGGCTTATAACCAGTGAAAGATAACCAGTCCTAGGTATCAATCCAAACCTTGCTACCTTTACACCTTTTTTGTGTGTGCTTGTTGTTGTTATATGCCATTGAATCACCTGTGACTCATGGTAACCCTATGTACAACAGCTCTGAACCCTTTTCTGTCCTGAACCAGTCTCACTGACTCCGACACACCTCTCCTGCACTGTCCCTCCACCCTTCTTGCATAATGTCCTTCTCTAAGGATTGATCCCTCCTGGCCACATGCCAACAGTATATGAAACAGAGCTTCAAAATCCTAGCCTCCAAGGAGAAACTTGGTTTCACTCCCTCCAAGACAGATCTATATGTTTTCTTGGGGGTATGTTCAAGACTCTTGTCTAACACTACAACTCGAAGGCATCAATACTTCTTCTGTCATCCTTTGCCATTATCCAGCTTTCTGATGCATAGCAAGTAATTGTGAAGACCATAGATGGGATCAGGCGCTTATGTATCTAAAAATGGAGCTCAGGTGGCCTAGCGAGTAAGGAGCTGTGCTGTTAACCCAAAGGCTAAGGCAGGCAATTTCAATCCCCCAGCTGCTCTGAGGGAGAAAAATGGGAAATCTCCTCCTGTGAGACTTACAGCCTCTCAGAAACCAGCTAAAGTTTCACTTATGAGTCAGTTCCAACTTGACTGAAATTGAATTTTTTAATCTGAGTGGGCTCCAACTAGATTGCACAATTTTAAAATTGAGACAATTCAGTGACATTAATTACATTTACCATGAGGTGCTACCTTCACCCCTATCCAGTCCAAGGTTTCTGAGTAACTCTTTCACAAGAATTCTAATTCATCTCTATCCACAGCCCCTGGTAACCACTAATCAACTTGACTTCTTTTCCATATTTCATGTTAGTGAGATCATACACTATTTGTCCTTTCATTTGATGTCTTTCTGGATTGCAAACCTTTGTGTAGTATTTAAAATTTACAAAGTAAAAAAAAATCCTTGAGGTGTGGATTTTCTCTTCTTACCTTTCAGCTAGGAGTTGGTTGATTGTTAGATAAGCCCACAATTTTCGGGTGAAATCAGGGTCTGCATGCTTATCTTTTGATAGGAAATCTTCTAAGTCATCCATCTGTGCCAGGGTTTCCAGGACCAAGTCTGTGCTGGCCTGTGATGGAGGGTAAGGTGAAAGACACCAAGGAAACAGAATCAGAGCTAAGAGTTGACATATTTTTAAGGACCCATTATAAGTGTGACTTGAGACTTTAAGGGGAATACAAAATCAACGGAAGACAGAACTTCTTTAGGGAAGTTTTAAGTACATATGTCCAAAGCTTGCGATTGTGTTTGAGATGAAAAACAATGGTTGAGGAAATGATGTGCATGTTCTCATGCACTCTTATTGCTTTTATTCCACACACATCATTCTTGGAATGGAGATTATTAAACTGTTAGTATACAAGATAGGTTCTCTTTCAGGGAACAATTCATGTTGTGAAAATGAACAGATTAGCAGTACCGTCGTTGCGGTGATAATACTCTGCATTTGCTCCAGTTTAGTCGGGTCAACTTTTCCTGCCACCACAATCTCTGAGCCTCCAAAATAGTTGTAGAAACTGTTCTGAGTGACATCCGTTACTGCTGCATGAGGATAGTTGAACTGGACATTCCGGAGCAATGGTGTCGAGACTTGGTTATAGAACTTCTGCAATTCATAGAAATTCAGAAAGATTGTTATTTTCATATCACTTTCTATACCTGAAGGATTTTTTTCCTCTGAAATTTTAAAAATGCTTAACAGTTGTCTCTAAGTTTATTTCCACTTGATCTCTGGGCCACCTTATGGGCCCAGGAAAAATTCTCATCATTTTCAGATGAAAAAACTCCGAGATAAGAAGATAAAGCTTGTCAAGATTGTTACCCTTGATTTAAAAGCCCATCATTGTTATTGAAGTTTCCCCCTTGTTATGACAAGCAAGAAAACATCTTCGACACTCATAATAATAAAAATCAGCTGGTTTGCTTTTCTCAAATTAAAACTTTTATCCCTCATGTACTCTCAAATTTAAATATGGCACCTGGCATTAACATGAAACAAGGCCCGACATGATATTTATCTACATTTTAAAAAATCTATTTAGCCTAGTTAAACAAGCAATTAATTTACTTATATTTAAGATACTCTTTGGTGTGATTTACTGCCTCTGAGAACCTACTGGAGCTATGAGTTAGCTTTGACTCGACAGTACCGTACAATGTATTTATGGAAATTTGTAGACCATAGTTTGATCTAAAATATCAATTGAGACTTTAAAGGGAAAATTAGTAGCCATGATGATCAGGGGAACCTGTCGTTGAGCAAGACTGGAGAACTACAAGAAGTTTTACTATTGCCCCGGTGCCTTTTGTCCAGGGAAGACAGATATAAGTAATTACTATTTATTGTTTCACAGCAAAACTATCAATGCAGAAATACAAGTAGAGAAATGATGGGAGTAAAATACTGCACTGAAACAGATGAGGGAGTGAATAATTTAAAAGCAATGTATGATAGGGTATTATGGTTATCACAAGAGTCCACAATTAAGGTTGCAAGTGGAATGTTGGGAAAGAAGCGGCCATGTTGTTCCTGGTTTGGCTGGCTTCTCCCAGGCTCTTGGGAAGATCTCCTTGCCAGAAGGAGGGAGCATGGTGGTGGGAGCGCAGGAATCGTGGCAAGCTTTTGGAGTCGACTGCTTTTCCGAGAATGTGTCTGACATGCAGGTTTGCTCTGTCCTTGGAGTGAGGCTAGCCAGCCTAGGCCTAGGGTTTGAACCAGGACGCGGCCTTAAGCCCCAAGGCAGCTGAGAAAGAAGCAGCCATGTTGTTCCTGGTTTGGCTGGCTCCTCCCAGGCTCTTGGAAAGTTCTACTTGCCAGAAGGAAGGAGCATGGCTTGCTTGCCTCTGGAAACTCTGTATGAACAGTGCTCAGGCTGTTCGTTCATAGGGTCACTATGAGTCGTCTACGACTCAACGGCATCAAACAACAACAACAGCAGTGGAATGCACTTGGGGCGGCAGGAGGGGTGTGGGCGGATTGTGTACTAGGGAAGGAGTGTTTCTTTTACTTTTGAAAGAGAAGAGCGAAGTGGGGGGGGCGGGGAGAGAAGTGCAGCAATGGATGAATGGAAACCCAAAATCTCTGTAAATGCTCATTAAAGTTATTTTAAAAAACAAAAAAAAAAAAAAAGGAATTGAACACATTTCTCTGATTCTTATGAGGTGGAAAATTCGAACTTTGAATTAAATTTGGTCATCTTCTCTAAAAACCAAAACTAATCAAAAAGGAAAACAAACAAAAAAAAGCCCCCAAACGAAACACCAACAAAACCCCATCAACAATGAGCTGATGCAACTCACAGTGACCCTGCATCAGGCTGACAAAACTTCCTAAGAGGAGACTACTTCTCTCACTCACCTTCCCCCCACTCCACCAGCTGGTGGATTCAAAATGCATTCAGTTAGCAGTCAGTGAATTGTGTTACCTCACAACCAATGCTTTCCTGTCTTCTCTTAGCAAGATTATTTTGAATGGGGAAGGGGAGGGGAAGAAAGAAAGAGAAAGGAAAATAACGTTAAATGTTACCCTAAGTTGAGAAGAAGTGTCCTGGTTTCCATAAATCCTTTGAGCAATTCCACGATTTTCATTGGAGAGTCTTTTCAAAAAATCATAGTCAACATCAAATCCTATCCCCAAACTGAACAAGGAGATATTGTCGCGAATGTTCTGTTTCACGTTTTTCTGAATTTTTGACAATTTAAGTTCTCCTAAAATCAATAATTATGTAAAAGAAAGGGAGGGGAAAACTGTTACAAAGTTTGTGGAAAATCTGCATAGAGTGGTTTAGCAAAATTTGTCCACATTAAAATGCACTCATTGTTTGATCTATTCATTTAACTAATGCAGAGGAGCTCTAGTAGCGTAGTGGTAAGAAGCTATGCTATAAATCCTACAGGTTGTTGTTGTTGTTGTTATGTGCCATCGAGTCACCTGCGACTCATATCGACCCTATGTACAACAGCCCTAAACTCCGCTCTGTCCTGTGCCAATCGCACTGTTTCTGACACTCCCATCCCAATTATCCCAGTCACTGAATCAATCCACCTCATAGGGGGCCTTCCTCTCCTGCGCTGTCCCTCCACCCTCCCAAGCATGATGTCCCTCTCTAAGGACCGGTCTCTCCTCACAACATGTCCAAAGTATGTTAGACGGAGCCTCAGAATCCTTGCCTCCAAGGAGCCACCCGGTTTAACCCTTTCTAGGACAAATGTGTTTGTTTTCCTAGCAGTCCATGGTATTCTCAATACTCTTCTCCAGCACCACAGCTCAAAGGCATCAATTCTCCTTCTATCCTCTTTGGTCATTGTCCAACTCTCTGATGCATAACAGGTGATTGCGAAGACCATGGCCTATATTAAACGCACCTTAGTGTCCAGAGAGACACCACTGCTCTTCAGCACTTTGGAGAGGGTCCCTAACAGCAGACCTTCCCATGGCAATGCGGCTTTTAATTTCCTGGCTGCTGGTGCCAAGACTGTTGACTATGGAGCCAAGCAAACTAAAGCTGTGTACAATCTCAATCTCTTCACCATCCATCCTGATGCTGCCAATTGGTCCAGTGATGAGAATCTTTGTCTTCTTGACATTGAGCCTCAATCCATATTGTAGGCTGCAGTCCTTGACACTCTGCAGCAGGCACTTCAGGTCCTCTTCAGTTTCAGCAAGCAGGGTTGTGTCATCTGCATAACGCAGATTGTTGATAAATCGTCCACCAATCTTGACCCCACATTTCTCCTCATAGAGCCCGGGTACTTGGTTCAAATCCATCAGCTGCTCTGAAGAAGGATGAGAAATCTCCTCCCATGGAATTAGGTGCCTCTGACAACAAGCTAGAGTGTCAGTTATGAGTTATGACGGCTCACAACAACAGTATGATGGATGCCATGGATTGAATTGTGCCCTCTCAAAATATATGCCACTTTGGCTCAAAGCAAAACAAAAACCCAACCCAAAACACAGCCAACCTAACCCTCAAACTCCTTGGTGTTGAGTTGGAACTGACTCACAACAACTCTCCAGTGGGTTTTCCAAGGCTGTATATGTTGTGGGAGAAGATGCCCATCTTTCCCGCAAGCCGGTGGATCCAAACCATTAGAGAGGCACCACCTGTGGGTCAGCAGTGCAATTCCCAGTAAACCATGATTATCAGCATAAAGTCATTATCCTGTGCATTTTAATCTGTCAATGCTGATGAGTCTAAGTTAGAGGCAGTTGTGTAAGGATGTGGTTATCATTCAGGTGTGATGTGAGATGTGATCAGCTAA